GCTCATTCGGCCGCATTACTGGAGTGCCCTGAATTTCCTGGAGCCCAGTGGCTCCGAGACATAATTATGACGCTTTCATTGAAGTCATTATTATATTGTATTTAATTGGACAATTTAATGAAAGGCAGATTAATTTCGGGTTTTTCGCGAGATACTGTATCTCTCAAGAGAATTGACATCAGCAATATGACGGATCACGAAGGCACCTACTTTTGCCAATGCTGTAGAGCTGTGATTTGTTGACGATGTACGGCAGCTGATGGAACGGCATTAACATTCAAGGCCGGGGAGGGTTTAACCCGAATGCTGTAATTTAATGCTCAAAATTGACCAGACTGCCGTTGACTCTTAAACAATTACTCTTTTATCTGTTGAAATAAAAACACGTTTTATTGACCCTCCAAAGTCTCAGAAACCAGACATTGCAGTTCCGCATGGCTGCGAGTTGTGGTCAAAAGTGGAACGAAGGCACTGCAATTACTTCTCCATCAAAAATGATAGGAAAGTGACTCAACATTTCTGTATTCTATGCAGCGTGGTTAGCAAGTCTCAGGAAGAATATCCTCACACGTGCCAAGGGGCACGTGGCTGCGGGAAATTAATCTCGGAAACAACCAGACGGTGACGTCATCACGGCGCTCGTGCCAGGTTAGGTGCACCTTGATGCTTGCTGCTGGCAGATCACGGGACGGACCCAGGTGCCATGGGTCGACTGACGACTGGCACATGCAACACCCGTGCTCCCCACTGTGCCAAGCTGCTCGAGTTTATCAGCCCGGCAACCCCCCCCCCTCATTGTTGTGAGCGTCGCTCCTCTGCCCTCCTCTGTTGTCGGGAGGGCGACGACGTCGAAACTGCCCAGTCGCGTCCTTCGCGAGCCTCCTCCACAGAGGCCGACCCCTGGCACCGCTGGTACCGGTCATCTGCAAGTGTGAATCAGTCCATCTCTTCTCCAGCCCGTGCCGCGCCCATTGAGCCCCCCTCGATCCCGCCCAACAGAATGTGCTTGGTCATGCGGTGGCTGGGCATGCGGAGGGAGGGGGGCGAGGCACGCGGGACACGACGCAGCCAATGCAGCCTCGCCTGCCGGAACCCACTGGGTTCGACCAAATACCACGCTGAAAATACTTTAAGCTTCTACTTATTCTGGAGGCCGCAGGGAGAAAGGTGTTCATGACAAATTCTGGCCAAACTCCATTTGGCAGAGCCAGGAGACTGTACGGAACCCCAACCCCCCCCCCCCCCTATTTATTTTAAACATAAATAATCCACTGCCATTGACAACATGGAATATAGAAAACATAGAATATAGAAAACAAAGATCCCCTGTACCTCGGGGTGTCTTTGGCGTGTGACGGGGAGCGGCAGCGGGAGATCGGGAGCCGAGTTCTCGAACGAAGCTCGCGGTTTGTAGGTCCATCGACGCACCCACCGTCACCTATGATGCCCATGAGCTTTGGGTAATGGGCGAAAGGATGAGATCGGCGGGTACAAGGGGCCGAAATGAGGTTTACCCGCAGGGTTGCCGGGCCTCATCGCTCTCCGTGATCGGGTTGAGGAGCTCGGGAATCCGGGAGAGCCTCGAGGACGAGCCGCTGCTGCTCCTACGGATCGAGAGGAGCCGGTTGGGGTGGTTCGGGCACCCGGTAAGGATGGGGCCCCCCGGTGGACTCCCCCTGGAACTCTACCGGGCAGCAACGTCCCACTGGGCGAAGAAACCGGGACCGGCCCAGGACACTCTGGCGGGACTCTATCGCTCGGCTGGCCTGTGTATGGTAACGTGTAGTGGGTAGTAATGTAGTGTATGATGTAGTGTATAGTAACGTGTAGTGGATAGTAATGTAGTGTATGATGTAGTGTATGGTAACGTGTAGTGGGTAGTAATGTAGTGTATGATGTAGTGTATAGTAACGTGTAGTGGATAGTAATGTAGTGTATGATGTAGTGTATAGTAACGTGTAGTGGATAGTAATGTAGTGTATGATGTAGTGTATAGTTACGTGTAGTGGATAGTAATGTAGTGTATAATGTAGTGTATAGTTATGTGTAGTGGACAGTAATGTAGTATATGATGTAGTGTATAGTAACGTGCAGTGGATAGTAATGTAGTGTATGATGTAGTGTATAGTAATGTGTAGTGGATAGTAATGTAGTTTATGATGTAGTGTATAGTAATGTGTAGTGGACAGTAATGTAGTATATGCTGTAGTGTATAGTAACGTGTAGTGGATAGTAATGTAGTGTATGATGTAGTGTATAGTACGTGTAGTGGATAGTAATGTAGTGTATGATGTAGTGTATAGTAACGTGTAGTGTATAGTAATGTAGTCTATGATGTAGTGTATAGTAATGTGTAGTGGATAGTAATGTAGTGTATTTAGTGTATAGTAACGTGTAGTGGATAGTAATGCAGTGTATGATGTAGTGTATAGTAACGTGTAGTGGATAGTAATGTCGTGTATGCTGTAGTGTATAGTAACGTGTAGTGGATAGTAATGTAGTGTATGATGTAGTGTATAGTAACGTGTAGTGGATAGTAATGTAGTGTATGATGTAGTGTATAGTAACGTGTAGTGGATAGTAATGCAGTCTATGATGTAGTTTATAGTAACGTGTAGTGGATAGTAATGCAATGTAGTGTATAGTAAGATGTAGTGGATAGTGATGTAGTGTATGATGTAGTGTACAGTAATGCAGTGCTAAAATCCGTCGCTAGGGAGTGGGAGGTGTGGACCGCCACGACGCAACACGCTGCCGCCGCGACCCTCACCAGGACAAGCGGACACAAGAAGAATCCCCGCACAGCCCGTGACAGACTCATTGGCTCGTTTTGTTTACATGACAAACCTTACTGGCTGTGTCGGGTGGTGGAGGGTTACGACACATTTATACACACCAGGTAATGGGTGGCCAACACCATGCCCGGCCGCCTTAGTCTCCCCATTGGCGATTTTTTTTTTACACCGCACCAGGTACTCATTTGAGGCCGAGTCGACCCAGGGGAGGTCCAGGACCGGTTCAGATAAAATCGTCACCGGTGTTGGCCGTGGGCAGGCGTCGAACTCGGGTTCGCTGGGTTGGTAGCGCAGCGCCGCATAATCGCATGTCTGAAGTCTCGACGTGCGTACACCACCCGCGGATACAGAGGGCCCGCGGATACAGAGGGCCCGCGGATACAGAGGGCCCGCGGATACAGAGGGCCCGCGGATACAGAGGGCCCGTGGATACAGAGGACCCGTGGATACAGAGGGCCCGCAGATACGGTCACGCGAGTTGGCCAACAACACTCCTGGCTGCCATCGTCACTTTTTTTTTTACACACCGAGGACACCCGTCCAGTAGAACTCGCGTTTCTTCAAGCGTCTGTCCCCAAGACCTATGGCCAGGCTCCACACGAGCCGAGTTACCTTGGGGGGTTCGGGGGGGCCTAGATAGCTCTGACAGCAGTGGCCCAAGGGGGGGGGGGGGGCAACAATCTGAGAAACGTCTCGATGGCAATCTTCCCAGCTCTGGTTTGCCAAACCGTAGCAGCAGTTTCTGAAACTCATCTTTGGTATGCGTGGTTTTTTCTACTGAGTGTGTAAACATAGTGGGCATGGCAGGTGCCCTGGTTTAGATTTCCAACCACGGTTGACATCAGCGGCGAGAAACATTGAAATCGGTCTTGAATCCCACCCCAACCACTTAGACCAATTGATGCGGACCACCGTGAAGTATCGTTATAAACAAGCCCCCCCCCCCGTCACTGATACGGTGTGGGGAGGGCCAGGTCAGAATCTGGCATTGGTCTGCGATTTAAATGCAATTGTCACGTGAATATTAGGCTTGAGAATGTAGGTCGCTCCACAGAATTGAAGCCTTTGTGGTCTCGGCTAGGGTTTAACACATTAAAAACCGAGATTTTGTTTTATCTCTCTCTCCTCTTTAAAACTGCCGCCTTTATTTCCAACGGTGTCACGCTGCTCCTCGTTGCTCCGCACGACTTTGCAACCGGTCGTGTCTCGATCCCCAGCTGCCTTCCATGTGGAGACTTTTTACCCTCACGCAATTTGATGCAAATCGACCAAATTATTTCGTCTCCCCTCGCCGCCCCCCCACCCCCCAGTGTTTTCAAACGACTTAATTCATCAAAGGAATCAAAACGAAGGTCGCGGATAACACTTAAGAGGTGGTGTGCATTTTGAAATGAAATGTTACGGCTGAGTTTCCCTTTGTAGTTAAGGAATAAATCACCAGGTGCACCTGCCTACCAGTTTTTACGTCGAATACAAGAGCTGGCGCAGAGCAAACGAGTTCGCACCAGCACGGATCAAGGTGGCATTCACCTACCCCCCCTAAGCCACTGATGCAGTCACAAACGTGGGTCGGGTGGCAGGGCTTGCCAAGTCGAGGTGAGGGTGGCTGACACGCTCCGGGAGCCACGGGCAAATCGTATTTACTGCATTGCAGTATTTGGTGAGCGGTGTGGCTGAAAGGTGTCTTCTGCGCCAATAGGCTTGGAAGTGGAACGCACTCGAATGTCTGACATTGAGGGGAGGGGGGGAGGGGAGGATGGTGCAAACAAATCTCAATAAACACTCGCGAGTCAAGCGACAGATAATTGAATTCATTTTTCTTGTGCGTTGTGTGAGAGCCGAGACAGTCAACGCACAGTGTTGGTCACGTCTTTCTGCCACGAGACTCTCTTTTTTCCTCCACGCACACAAGACCACATATATGTATACCCTCGACTCCGTCCAGAGAACACAATTTAATGTTTTGGGATATTCCCCCCCCCCCCAAAATGTGGGGCGCCGAAGTAAACCAAAGACACCATCTTGGGGAGAAAGAAAAAAAATCCACATTATGTATTAACACGAGTTGATTACAAAGTGTGCTCAGCGTGCTTTTGTGCACTGCTTAACAGCAGGAAGTGATCGTTCTTATTAATGGCAAGTGAACAACTGCTGATTGACAACAACAACACACAACGCTGATGAATGACGGCACGACTGCATACCAACGTTTGACGCTATGCACAGCATGTGTCTTATAATATGTGAAATAAGCACAAACCAACGTCAAATAAAGAATAACAGGTTTTTATCACTAATAGTTTGTATACAGAGCAGATGCAAACAAAAAAAGCCTACAGGAATTAGCCTTGTGATTAGCAGGAGCACGTCAAGTCCGATTACCATGTCGCCCAACTTCAGACTATCGTTGCCAGCCTGAATTATGAGACCATCAGAAATAAAAACGTACTTTTGGAAATTAAGGGTCATTAAGTACTTGACATGAAAATAGTAAAACTTAACATCTTAGCAAGTGCTTTTTTTTTACGTACATAATCACAGCAAAAATATGACATCTTTTTCATCTGTTATCCCAATATGCAAGGCACCACCGTATATAATCGATTCATTTAGTTAGTCCATTTTTTTCCTCAAAAAATTAGAAGCATGCTTAGGCCAAAAGAAGCATCCACTGTACAATATTTGTAAAAATGTAAAACCTTAAAATGTGTACCAGTGGTTACCGAAAACGGCTCTTTTTTTAACAGCCATACCTTTGATGGGGCAACCACGGCCACACAGATTCCACGGTGAACCCCCCCCCCCATCCTATCGCTCAGAGGTGGGGGGGGGGGCATGGCCACCACCGCCACTTCAACCCCCTCCGCCCCCAGCAACTCGCACTCTGCAACCCACTCACGCCAGACCCTTCGCCACGCCAGACCCTTCACCACCCCAAACTCCTGGTTCGGCACTCCCCACATCTCTGTGACTGTTAACCATTTGACCCTCTCTCCCCCCCCCCGCTACCCCGCCCCCTCCTCACGTCAACAAAGCTGCCAGTCACGTCGTCTCGCATTCATCTCTATAGCCTTGAAAGATACAATCGATGTTTGACATACTCATAATGCTGCACACTCTTTTCCTCTCCTCTCTCCTTTATATACAATCAGATCCAAGAAGAAAACATTGCATGTGAAATTACGGGCATGCAATATTTGTACATTTACTTCACATACCCTTCCGTGTTCGACCAACTCACGTCCTACAGAACACTAACCACCCCCCCCCGCCCCCGGAGAAGGGGGGCTACGTTACTCATTGTGCATCTGTAAATTAAAATTTTACATACAAAAAAAATGGCAGTTACCCAAACAAAATAAAACCACCTTGCCACCAATAATTATGAGTATATTAAACATACAAAAGGAGGATCTTCAACATTTGGTACGTAATTGGCGAGGGGGTCCTTTATTGCCCGCCGCTGAGTAACAGGGTGCCGTTAAGTGTGAAGTGATGCAGCAAAGACCGCGCCGATCCATGTTCTCCATTGCGTACGTGCATTCTGTGTAATACCTAGCAAGATGGCCAAATATATATTAAATATAAAACTCTATACCATATATATTCTTTATTTATTTTTTTAAACAAATAACATGTTTTAAACATTCTATTAATATGATTGTCGTCTGTTAGTATTTTGGAGTTAATTCTCTTATAAATTACAAACTTTTTTTTTGGACAACACTTTAATTTAATGACCAAACAGAATAAAACGTTTTTTGTTTTGAAAAAAAAAGAGAGAAACATCACGAGAGAGAGAGAAAAAAAAAGAGAAATCAGTGAACCAACACCTAAAGGGAGATTGCTCAGGTATCGCGATCTCGCCAAGTACGCACAAACAACAACAGCAGCAGGTGCCCGCTCCATCTTTCACGATGCAAGGCACCCTTCCCCAAAAAACCCTCTCTCTTTTAAGCTCAAGCGTGCTGCCCTCCCCCATTGCCCAGCTGCACAAACAAGAATTTTGCTAAAGTAGTGCTCCACAATCATTAAATACAAAAAAAAAATCCCAAAGAGATTTCTTCAGCCGCTCTTCCCGCACGCTAGCAAGTGAAGTGCCTTGTTCCCCCCCCCTCCCCTTCCGCACGAAAGAATCGAAAATAAAAATCACAAATGATATAACGATGATGAACGCGACTTACGTTTTATGTTTTTAGTTTTCTGCACCCGCAAAGCCATGGAGATGAAAGGATTATATGTTAAGCCACTGAAGCTCACCTGCTCTACTAGTAAGATGTTATGAATGCAGGAGGGACTCGTAACTGTACTTAGTGTCGCTATTATAGCATTGTGACCGAACTGTTATAATAAAAAAAATGTACACACCATCTTCACTTTTCACTCAGGATAATGATTACTAGGGGGCTAACCATCCATCACAAGCCGACAAAAGCAGAGTCCTACAGTTTGCCATAGTTACAACATGCAACATTGTAAAAGTGGATCCAGTACCTCGCCGTGACTTGCCATATTGTTTGCCTATGCCCTCACAATCATCCGCTGCCTTTCAGCTATATTCCAGTCCCACGCCCAAAAGCACCCATAAGTCCGCCGCCACGGCCGTGAATGATGTGAGCGTGTCGCGCACCTCACCACCACCTTACTCGACTTCTACTTCTGACCGATGGATGACGATGTGTGTAAATCTAAAAAAAAAAATTATAATTACCGAGGCAAGCCATTAAACAAAAGAAAAAATTCCTGTGAAATTCACAAGCAAGCGCTATTATTGTGTCCAGTGTTCTACCAAGAGTAAAGACAACCTATTCTTTCTGACCATCTTGCAATGTATTTCTTTAGTGTTTGGCTGACTTTTACAAATCGATAGCCCGAACAATGACTTTTCAAAGTGCTCAACGACAAATTATCTTGCGGTTCCTTTACAATACCACTAACTACAGGTGACACGATGTAAAAATGTTACACGGCTTTGCCAATAAAACAAATAAACTGACAAAAAAAAACCTGTGAGATTTCCCCATGTCATGTTAATTATATAATGTAACCGGAATTTTATATTTTTACATTTCAATTCCAGAATTTCAAACTACCACTTGGAGAGAATGACCTCGCCAAGTATGTCGTTTTCTCATTAGACCTTTGAAAATCAAACATTTGTGATGGCTCATGATGCACATCTGTGCAATCTTAAACAAAAATACTAAGTCGATTAAAATGTGGACCTCCAGATCACTCGTCTCCAGCAAGAAGGGCGAACGTTGCCACTGTAGCACTGCGCTTAGCCAATCACTAATTACCGCGTGGTGCTTCAATGCAGCACGCCGCTCTTCATTGGAACTGCATAAAATTTCACATCATATCAGCCATATAGACGACCAATTGCCCAAGGTAAGGGGGGGGCTCTCTTTTTCATCGGGTAACTCTGAATTAAACAGAGGTACATTATGACAAATGGCTTGTTGTTTATCTTTGCAGGGATGCCTCTTTTTGTTTTTTAAGCATTCCGAGCCGCGGCTGTAAAGTGTGCGGATGCTTGGCACTACCGCTACCAGCTGTTTCGCGATGAACAGAAGTTCTTGCTTAGGAAGTGGCCTAGGCCAAAGCAAGAGAGCTTTGTAGGCAAATTCCACAATCCAAGTAGCCAATGAAAAGTGTATACATCTGAAAATACGTTTGAGGCATGTATATTAATAACAAACAAAATTAAAGATTAGTTTTGGTTGACGATTAAAGATAATTAATTTAACTAGGCCAAGTCTAAAAAAGATAGCATGAATAGTCTCTTGTGGGTTTAAACAGTTGGATTTTGCTCTTAAAAAGGGCCGGGAGCTAAACATACAAACCGTGTCTCTTGAAAGGGACAAGGCAGTATTATAAAGTTCTGCAGGACGATCAACACTATTCTGAATTCTTTGAAAAATTAACAGATAGAATGTAAGCATGTGCCCTTGTTGCTGAAACATGTATGGTGCAGACTGAAGGTGCTTTATATTCCGGTGTTCACAAAACCCTTACTGCAGACGTTGCTTCTGAAAATGCTCAAGTTCATTCAGAATTAATTTTGAGCTTGGGTCACAGGATACATCTGAAGCTCAAGGATAATTGCAACATGGGGACGGCTTTCTATTGGAAACTATGGCCAGACAGCAGGCCTCAATATCTCCAAAACAAGATGACATGCACCGATAATTCAATGGGGCTGTAATATTTCTCGAAGTGCACGTTCTGACTGGTTACAAAGAGCCACTGGGGGGGCCCAAGCCAAAACTGACACCTTTTTTTCCTCCCCCCCCCCCCCCCCCACCCGACAATCAAGCACTTTCGCCAGCCACAGAGGGGTGACTCATTTCTTGTGGAAGTGGAGTGCCCGGGCTTCTCCGGCCATGATGCGAGGCAGCTGCGCACTGATGATCTCGGCCATCATGTCAGGAAACTCCACACTCCACACCTGCGTCTGCGTGAAGGTTGCGAAGCAGAACTCCAGGAGCTTGCTCACGAGCTGCAGCGACCCATCACAGGAGACACAGCCACACGGCGCGAGTCAACAGGAGGTGTTCCCTCCGAGTGATGATGTGGTGCGAGATCGGAGTTGTGAAGTTCTGCGCGAGATTATTAATCATCATCAAAACTCATTTCTTTAGAACTACTTCGTGTGTCCACAGTTTGTTGTCCTTCCCCTGCACCTCCCAATTAGCAACGGTTGGCTACGTATGGCGCAAAAAATGTTCAACAGACATGCGTACATACAAAGCAAACCGCACGGGGCATGCGACATCTATCGCACAACTTGCACAACCAGGGCCACACAGAGCACAGCAAGGCAGACAACCGATACATCACACAGATTCCCCCACTATAGCCTGAAGTGACTATTGGGGGGGCAAGTGCTGTTCACCACCAACTACGGAGGCTGGCATGGCGCATGAAGGGGGTGGCGTTGTCACAACAATGCTCAGCTGCATGTCTTCCCAATGTTAATATTTACAAACCACACCAGGTAATCATTTAAGAATGAGTCTGCCCGGTGGAGGTCTAGGACCAATTCTGATGTCACTTGCCACCGACGGCTGGTAATCAAACTAAAGGTCAGCCGGTATCCGGGTTTATAATACGGTGCTCCAACCACTACGTATCTGTCCCACACATCACGCACGCACGCTCACCCATGCACGCGCACTCACCCGCGTCTGTAAATGGGGCACAGCCCATGAAAATATTCGTGGACATCTGCAATCTACTATGCGAGGCTCCTCAGGGCAAAAAAAAAACATATTCCTAGCCATCATCCGAGTGCCAGAGGATCCTGTGGGATGGCAATAACCTGCTGGGTCACTGTGACATGCTGGCAGCAGCAGCAGCAGCAGCCCAGATTGTGCCTTTGCCGAATGCTTAACCATTTGAAAGCGAGAAGCCAGGCATACGTCACACAATGACCGCCGAATGTGTGAATACTAATCAACCCAAGGAATACAGCAGCTGTAATTATACGCAAGGTTGTGTCCATCAATCTCCCGTTAATCCCTTTGTCTCAACTAATATGTAACCCAAGATTGTCCTCTGTGCCATGAGTAGTTTCCTCATTTGTATTCCTGTCCATTCGCTGTATACATTCTTTGTAAAATTAACCGTGGCATTTCGATATTGAATTTATGTTTAATCTACATTTTTCCAATGCTCTCATACTTTTTAATTTTGATGAAACGATATTTCATACATATATCTAATGGTCAATAGTAATGCATTATTGTGGCTTCCATGACTTTCAAGAGTTAACCCTGTACGTGTCTTTTTAATGAAACCAATAAAGCAAACATATTTTAACCTTCTATTATTTAGAACTCATATGTTGATCGCGGTTGGCTAAAATTAATTCCGGAACCATTTTAGGGATCCATGCGTAATACTTGTGCGCTTATTTTAAAAGATGACTAATTAAAATGACGTACTGTCAAGTTATCCAAAAGCAAAACAAAACAAGCACTCGGATTATATTACAACGGCTACAAATTTAAATCACCGCTGTGACCAGAATTAACTGTGAACATGTTTAACCATTTAATAAATGCAATAGCTGCTTGGTGCTATATTTTATGTGAATAGCTACAGAAAATACAAATTCCAACATGCAGATGTCATCTGTAAAATAGTAGCAGTCACACGATCATCCAGGACTCCAATTACAAACTAAAGGTTTTACTGTAGAACATACATGGCATTTTTTGGTAAGCCTACAATATACGCAACACTAGCTTACATAACAATAATGTAAATTAAGTTAAGTAACCTTAGTCTAACGTGACCTGTAATAAACATAACTTTCAGTGTGCCTGCCATTAGCTGTCAGTTCACAAATGATAATTTACAGATACATGCTTACTTAGGTTGGCAGTTCACTACACTTTGGAAGAGGCCACTGTGTTTTCTTTGGGTTGCAGTAACTCCGAAGAGGCCACTGGGTTTCCAATCAAAACTCACAGGCTTAGTGTACCCTGCAGCAGTCTGTCTGATACCGATTCAAACCCTCAGCTATCTCTCCTGGATTTCGAAAAAACGCCAGGCGTAACAGCTGTATAACATTTTCATTTGCCGCACAACGAAAATGTATAAAAATGCAAATTTTTCACGAATGGAAATTAAAATTCAATTTTAGTCACTGATAAGGTTTAGTAACCGTGCATACTGATAAGATGTGCCTGAATTTGTATCCGTATTATTACCCAGTGAAAGAAATGTGTTATGTTTATGAACATTTAAGATCGTTATAATGAGCAGGGTTTTATTTTATTTATTACAAATAATTGTCTGCCAGCTTTGAATTAGTTCAATATAATGAGAGCTACAAATACAATCCTGTTGACGGTACATTTACTAGGTTCCCAATTAGACCCAGAAGAATATATATTAATTGAACAAAGTGGAGTACGTGTCACGCATGGATGCCAGATAACACAAAGCTGCACAGGCCCTCAATTGAACCCATAAGAACTGTGGCGACTAATGATGTTATGTTAGTAATGTATATGCCCTCTCGCTTAAACAAGTAGTTTGACTCAACTACAGGCACTGCATGGCACCTTATACAACTGGCACATTAATCATGTAATCAGTGTAACGCATGGACTGGAATAACTCCACATTCAGAAGGTTTAAAAATATTTCAATCTGTATTAAGGTATGGTGTGTACAGATAACGAGGTTCTGCACTCATTTATCTTGGAAATTATCAGAGTATGTGAATATTGGTCGCATAATTTACAGGGAAATAGATTACCATCTCAGTTGACATGGTAATGATAAGCTTGATCTGGAGCATCATTAGAAATACACGTGCAGTATACTGCATGTACGTTCAGCTGAGCTTATGAAAATAAGCTTAGATCGAGGGGATGTGAATATAAGAAAGTTTATACAATTATGATCCCCACCGCCACCTCAGACCCCATGTGCAGAACACAGCAATGATGCCATGTGTGCAGAGCCGTCCCTGGGCTACGGCGAATCGGGGCGACTGCCCAGGGCCCCGCCTTTTGGGGGCTCCTCGCGCATCGACGTCACAATGCCAGACGTAATGCCTCTGGGTTAAGTTTGAAGGTGTGGGGGTGGAGCCCACACGATGGGATTTTTTACAGGACCCCGCACCCCGTTATGGACGGGCCCTGCATTTTTTTTTTACATAAGCCTTGGCCAGCATTTTATATTGAAAAACAAATTTCGCCACAAAGGATGGCACCGGGAAAGATATGCCAAGTGCTATTAAATTAAAACGAAAATAAAGTTTATGCAATTTATAATGTAATGCTTATACGGGTGACACTGTGGTTAAAATACTCCGCTGTGAACCCGGCGACCTGTGTGCGATTCCCCAAACCATGGCTGACATCAGTGGCAGGTGACATCTGTAGTATTCCCGGCCCGCCTTTGCTGGCAGAAGGGTTTTCAGTTGTCAGTTTATTTTGGTATAGCCCTGTGAGCCATTCGGCTCTTGAATCGGGTGCAACCACAACAAACAAAAAAACAAAAACACGAACAGAAAACATCTTAAAGTGACTGTGACTGTGCAAACAGAAAATTCATGAAAAAACCAGTAATAAATTCCTGAAAAAAGCACCGCACAACAATGCTGTGTGCAAAAAATCCCAGTGGGATGCAAGTCAAACAACAACCACAAGAAAACTTAGATTAAGGCCATCAGTCTAACTCGTACTACAACAAAACAAACATGGCCAAACCAAAAAACTTTTCGAAATGACCAAAAAATAAAGCCATAATTGCAACGTAACAGTGATCATAGGGACTGTGACCGAATTTTTTACCATAAACTACATAAATAAAATGCAAACCCTAGAGTATCAAATTTTTCAATGCACCTTCAAGATCAGCACGCTAAATCAAAATACAGATAATACTTTGCAGCGTCATCCGGAGCGAAACATTTTATTTTATTTTACGCCAATGAATAGCAGTGGCAGCTAGGGCCAATGGAGGAAGCTACAGTAGACAACTCTTGCACTCCAACTCTTGCACTCTGACCAGACATCTTGGAGTACCCACAACTTTATCCCTCACCGCCGCTAAATGCTGATTGTGGTGCGCCCGTTTAAACTACCGGGCAGACAGTGTTTCGTGGTGGGGAGGGGGAATCTAAGAAATGTAATAGGCTGTTAGTGTTCCCATTACTATTGATACAAATTTATTTCTTGGTACAGTTTGCAGTTTCGCATGTCATGCAAACAAGAGGTAAACCATATAATATTCTTCCTTACGATGATCTAAATGAGCCCGACTAATAAAACTCACTTGGCAATTAACTCGACCGATCCGGTTAAACCACTGAACTCGGAAATGTATAGTTTGTTGTGAAATTCAGAATAACCACACCTGAACGATGTCACACGGGAAAAGAGCAGAAGCGTTCATTACTTGTGCCATAAAGAGTGGCATTCAATTGAGCCCAAGGAGACACCGTGTCCAATCACGAGTGTGGAAAATCCAGTGTCCGTATGCACACACAAAGACAACAATCCCCCATATAGCCTGTAACAGACTGTTGGGGCAAGTGCTTTTAGCAAGCACCTATGAAGGCTGGCACAGCACATGAGGGGGTGGGGGTGGCCAGCACCACCCCTGGCCGCCTTTGTCTCCCTAGTGGCGATGTTTATACACCATATCAGGTTCTCATTTGAGGAAGAGTCGACCTAGGGGAGGGCCCAGGACCGGTTCAGAAAATCGTCACCGGTGTTGCCGTGAGCGGGAATAGAACGTCGGGTCGCCAGATTCGTAGCGCAGCGCGCCGACTGCCGCACTACCGCTCCCCATCGCGCACACAAGCACGCGCACACACACACACACAAACAGCCGTACGTACATCCTGCATGCAGTCCAGCAGCTTGGTGAGCTGGTAGAAGCGCTGCCAACACTGCACGGCATTCTTCTCCGTCCGTGCGATGGTCCGGTTCAATTCCCGGATGTAGCTGATCCGCATCTCCTCGAAGCAGCCCTGGCTCTTCAGACCCTCTTGTGGGACTGCAGACGTCACACCACACATGAAGATAGAGATAAAGATACCCCCTGTATAACCATGCAGACTGTTGGCGCAACTTCTGTTAGCGAACACCTGGTTAAGGCAGATAAGGCACACGAAGTGGGTTAGTGTGGCCGTAACCACGCCTGGCTGCCTTTATCTTCCCAGTGCTGATATTTACACACTGCACAAGGTACTCACTTAAGGCTGAGTTTACCTAGGAGACAGCCAGAACTGGTTCTGATAATCACCACTGATGTTAGCCATGGCCGGATATTTAATTGGAGCCTCCGGGTTGGTATTGCAATGCACGAACCACTACGCTACCATTCCCCACACCACAAACACACGTGTTCATATTCCTCTGCTACCCCTTACAGTCTGGAACGCCCTTCCCTTAGCCAACCGTGTTGTTGACTGCCTCCCCCTGTCAAGTCCAGGCTCAAGACATCCTTTGACCAACTCTTCTCCACGTGAAAAAAACATTCCCACTGTTTCTAGAAAATGTCTTGATATGCTGTGATCATATTTAGATATCAAATATTGTATTATTGTGAGCGCACACAAAAAATACATGTACGGAAGCATGACACCAACCTTAGAAACAAAACCTCACAATGGCATAGGGTGATTATTATCCAGCCAGAACACATAATTACTTATTTTCATGCCGACAGGCTGAAGAATGTATTACAATATCCCTGGAAATGTAATATTTTTTTTTTTGCCAAAGCTCTTTCACCATACAGGGTCTTTACAGAACATTTCATTGGACGAATATAGTTGGCAACAGCTCATGGATAGCTCCTTGTTTGAAAGGTGAAGGGCAATTTGAGAGCAAAAAGCAAATAAGCACATGGAGAGCTTGGCTTATAGCTACGTCCACATTTCAAAAACGTCGTTAAACATTTCAAATCGACCATATTGTAATATTTGCCAATAAAAAAGATAAAATCCGAATTATTTATTTACTAATTTAATCACGTGCGGCTTTTAAAAGACGAAAAAGTGCAACGGTGTTCAAATGCACAGACAACAAGACAACCATCGCTCTGCAGGCACATCGTTTGCTTAATTTGCCGTGCAGCACGTGGCTGCACGCCAAATTACGCCATTCACAAAGACCTGGGCCTTGCAAAAGGTGTCACGGCAGCGTTCTTCATTGCAAGGCCCGCGGGCCACTGGCAGCCCCTGGTGGCCTTTTGTGCAGCCCCTGACGTGCCCCCCCCCCCCCCCCGACAATGCACAACCATCATCACCGTCGTGCTGTCAAACCCCAAAAGTTTCAAATGTGCGGTGGCCCTCTCGCAACTGATGATGTGTTATCAGCAGAAGTGCCCCCCAACCCCCCTCTGAAAATTCAATGGGTGAGAGAAGCGTGCAGGCATTGCAGCGTTTTACGCTGTGCCCACAGTGTTTATCTTGACGCCTAACAGAGGGTGGAGATGGTGGCGTTGGGGTTAGAACCAGGAAACCATGGACTGTGACTCAAGCTCTATTGCCAGACCACGAGGCTAGCCGCAATGTATAGGCACTTACGTAATTTTTAACGGTTCAAAAACACATTTTAACACGAGCAATCACACAACAAAGTATAAATTAAAACAATGAAAGCAGTGGAAAACAGAAGAATGTTTAGGCCATATTATTCGCTTGGAATTCCACGGTCATGAATATTGCAGTTGCTGAAAATCAGCTTCTGTTTTGAATGGACAGAGTAGTAGCAAAGTTAGGAATGACATAAAATACTGCACCGCTACTCTAAACATATAAGCAGACGTTTTAAAAGAACGCAATAATTTTCGATGCACATGATCCACGGAACTCGCACAGCCACATGCTGCATAGCAATTTTGACTAAATAACGTAGCCACATCGGCCAGCGCCGCAGCATACAACAAGTTGCTTGAAAACATTGGTAAACCCCATGCTCACCCCCCCCCACCACCTCCGCCTATGACCGGAAGCGCTCAGTCAACCCTTTTCCTGTTTTCACTGGAAACAGGGTAATAAAATCTGAAAAAAACATGTCGCAATCCACAGACTCAAGCTGCACCATAGGACTAAAAAAAAAGTTTTCAAATGTAGGTCACCGCCTAAGCCAAGATATTTTGCATCTGGGTTTAAAAGGACTCAATACCCTGCCTTGTGAATGGCCCAAGAATGCTACCAAAATAAATGATACAAAACTAAAAAAAATTACATTTATCAAGTCGATCCATTCAGTGGCCATGAATGAGAAGGTATAAATGAGTAAGAAGGAAAACAAAGGCCGCAGTGTATTGGCACTTGCAGTTTGGTGGTGGTGGTGGCGGCGGCTATGCACGCCTGTAATCCAGCGCTGTGGAGGCGAGAGGCTTCGTAAATCACACTAACGTGGAATGACGTGAAACTCCCTTACCATGGGCATCGAGGTGCCAAACCCTGGTTCGTCAGAAGGCAGTACAGAAAGTAGACTAATCACCCATCTGTACGGAGATGGAGTGTTGCCCCCTCGGCTCCCTCCCACACATAAAAACGATCGTAAAATGGCTGAAAACTTCTTAAAACGAAAACTCTAAACAGGACCTTCGATCTAGGGACTCGGTGTGACTTTCCTGAATTTGAGTGATTAATTTATTTTATTAATATCACCTCATGAGTGCGGCTGTTTACTGCTAAATGTGCAATTCCTACCTTGAAATGTCCCGACAAAGGGTTGCGTGTAAAATTTGCAAATCAAAGCCATCGCAAGGAGGCCTAGACACAGACTACTCTGTTAAAGGCGAAGGTTCATCCCCGCTATTTCTTTCCTTGCACCACTGCTGACAGAAAGCCCCCCCCCCCCCCCCCCCCCCGACGGACGAAGGAGAGCTAAGGCAAGTCCATAAAGAGGGTATTTTCGACCTACTCTTCCAAAGTGGTCATACGTCTTGGAAGAGATTGCAGTACCCGCAACTTCACCCCGCCGCACACGGCCTCCCGATCAACCAACTGCACCCGCTTTATACGACTGAATTTGACATGCGGTGGGATCTAACAAACCTTGCCCAAGATTTAAACTGCGGAGCGTGGAGAGCGAAGCAAATTGGCGACCTCTGAACAGCAAGTCGGCTGCGCTCACCGTTACACTACGTCACGGGTCCTGCAAAATCCGACCACGGTGCTCGCCATGCTCCATTGGTTTCCAGTTGTCGAACGCATACATTGCAAGGTCGCACTCATCGAACATAATGTGCTTTCCATAAATTAATCACAACACCTTGCTGATCTCGTCAAGGAGCATAAATCATCACGCGGACGCCGGTCATCCTCGCAGCAGCTTTTAGCTGGCCATCGAACAAAGATGGTCACTGCATCGCGCGCTTGCAGGTGTGCTTTGGCAGCCGTCTGGAAATGCCCTTCCTTCCTATATATTAGGAAGCCACTGGAGCGAAGCACTTTTAAATCCTCTAGATTGAAAACGAATTTCTTTAGAACGTCTTTTTATATTTAGTTTGTTGTCCTTTAACTGCACCTCTGATTAGCACGGTTGGCTACGTACAGTGCAAAATGAAGTTCAACATCCATGTATAAATGCAGCAGCATCCTTGACTACTCTGGACCAGTGACAAAATCTAGAGGTAGCACGCCTCCCTCGCACGCTTTATCTTCCACACTATGGCCTCATAAAGACCTGGGCCCAAGGACAGTTATCACGATAGCATCTCGGTCTAGATGGGCCTATCCACACCCAGTTTGACACTCTCCCAAGGTTGGTGTTGCCCTTGACTTAAGAAACCATGCATTGCATAATAAAAACAACCAAACCAAATAAAAATAATGACTAAAAAATTACTCCCAGGCATTATAGCATTGAAATCGCATATTTAGGATGAGAAGTCGGTACCTGGGCCAGCATTACAAATCAACAATGAGAAAAAACGGTGAGCTGTCACAATCTAGTTTCATTATTGAAACAACAACAACCATAATAACATATACTGCATTGTGATTCATGTAAGACACTCCACCAAATCCTATTAAGAGCCCTCATGTTTGAGCAAAACAGAGCACTTAATAGTTGTTATCCTTGTGTAGACATGGTGCAGATGCACAATTCTTAGAAGCCCGATACATCAAATATATCTCACAAATGATTATATAACAAATGTGAATGGCTTTACATGGAAATCTAAACTCAATATCATTCATGACATCAGACCGGAAGAGAGACATCGGCCACGTGAGGTGCCAAAGAGAGAACGTGCAAAAAAGAGGGCCACCCGTTCCACACCAACGATGCGCAATGAATCCCCAAGGGGTGAAAAAGCCGAACACGTTGGCAGGAGCCCTGCGTTCTCCAAACAGGCCACACAGAAGGGAAGTCTACACAGTCCCGGGGAATTGTTTCCAACGGGCAAGCGAGCAGCCGCAAATCGACGACACGCCGGCTCCACGGTTCCGTCCACGTGTGCGCGCTTCCTCGCGCTGCAACCGTTCGAAGCGCCACTGATTTCAGGGGCCAGATGCAGCGGCGACGCACCACTTTCAAAAGAATGAAAGGAATTTTTCTTCCTCCAAAAAAGTAGGTCACGGAACATGCACCAAAAAGCATATGCATTTTTTGAATAAATAAATACACCCCCCCCCCCCCCCCTTGTGGAATCACCAGCCTAATCAATAACCTTCATATGCTGAAAACAAAACCTGGACACAGCCTATTGCCACCCTCCCCACTTTAACTCTCCAAGGATCAACCACAAGCTTAGGTAATGTGCCATTACTATGGGGGGTGGGGTGGTTTTCTTCTTCACCATTCACAATATCGGAGGCGCCGATATCTCGACGGTGTGTGGTTGGTGATTACGCCATTGGGCGTGGGCAGGCCTCTCGCAATTCACTCCTTAAGCGTCTGCCCTCCTCCACGCGGACAGCCTACAAGAAGTAAAACTAGTTTTGCGTCTATTCGAACTGTAGGGAAGACTGGGGGTTTAGGCAGCGTTTGTTAACATTCAGCCGGGGGTGGTGGCTGCCAAACCCT